GTTATAATTGTGAATGGAGCCACGGTAATTAAAACCGAATGTAGGTTGTTTTGAGATTTTTAAGCTTACTCGTGTAGGTTATAAGTAGAATTTTTAGATGAAAGTTTCGAAGTATCCAGGTTAAGTGAAAACAGAAATAAAATAAGTTCCATACTTTGTAGGATTGTGGAGACTTGTGCAACATTGTGGGTAGTTTTAAAATATCATTATATGTTCGACACCCTCCTGGGCCAGTGCTTTTTGTAGAATTGGACTCAAAAGCCACCAACATTTTTGATAAATGTTTTCAAAATCCTAAAAGCAGATAGGTAAATGCATGCATTACCTTTTCTTGAAACGATTTAAACAAAGGCCTTCATTTGTCAGGTGTAATTCCGTGTGTCAGCTTTTTTGCCAGAAATATCATCAGTGATCAAGTAATTGGTATGCAATAAATAATATCAATTAGCCTATTACCTGACTTAGATCATGTGTCATTTAGTGACATTTCTGTGACATATCTGTAACTAATCAGCTGAATAATTAATCATATGATAAGGTTTTGTCAAGTTAAATGGGAAGACAATTTATTTTTTTTGGGCTATTGGTATGCATGAGAAAGACATCTGGTAGTCGTACAGTTCAATGTGACTACTAAATATAAATACTACTCATACTTTTTCATTCTTTTTTTCATAAAACTGGTGTCGAACTGGTTTGGAAATCTGTCGGATTGGATGGGTCAAAGTATTTTTAGCATTATAAAATAATGTATGCCATGAAATTAAAGTTTGTTAAAAGCTTAATAACGATTTCCTTAAATTTTCAAGAATAGCTAAACGGTTGGTATCTTGCATATCTCAATTATATTTCTGTACCCCAAGTTTATCATGTGTATTAATATATGATTGATATCCAATATTTTATACATGATTTCATTCTATACTCATATCATCATCTTGCATCTTTCAATCTTCTTTTTTCTTAACATGTAGTTTTTTACCTCGTTATTAGAAAATGATTTTTGTGATTAACATGTACGCATATTGATTGACGAGTATAGAAGTGTTTGATTGAAAGGTCTTATTTTTCAAACTGAAGCAAATTCGTTCAAGATTTAGTCTTTGAAAACGACGGACGAGTGAATGAATTTGTTAGCGTCTAGACTGATGAATGAATGAATAATTGAATGAATGAATGAATGAATGAATGAATGAATGATGAATGAATGAATGAATGAATGAATGAATGAATGAATGAATGAATGAATGAATGAATGAATGAGCATACTGAATTATAAGAAGAATTGTTGTTTGAATGTTTAAATGAATGGGATACAAGAAAAAAAAAACGGAGGAATGTTTGGATGAATAAAATCGATGATTATGTCAGAGCGTATTTGCTGTGTATTTTGTCAGTATTATGATGATTAATGGTTTTAATACCAGAACACAAATAGGAAATGATTTTACACACAATTACTGAAGTCTGTTGCCGAGAAATATGGACATATTTCATCTAGAATTATTGTTAATGTATGTCCAGTATTGAACCAAACATGTTATGGTTTAGTGTAAACTATACATGTACTGTTTTTAGTACAATTTTAGTTACTGAACGACCGAATTCGAAAATCAAAAACTCAATTTTCCAGTAGACGGCGTATTTTACATTTATACATAATCTAGTTTTTCGTTTCGACAACAGATCTCTCCCACTGTCAGGAATAATTAATGCCAATTTAATCTCAGATCAAACAGCAAATATTGGAATTTGATTGAAACCTGGAAAAGTTGAAAATTGGAATCGTGGGTAATTATTCCTGAAATAGTATTTTTCTATAAGATTAGGTTTGCTAATAGTTGTTATAGCAGGGTCTTACACGGGGAACACATTATTATGTGACAGTTAACCAGATGAAGACACGTGGTAACTTCAACCAGTAGATCTAGGGGAAGTGGTCATTTGATGAGTTTATAAAATCACAGAATTGAATTTCCGAATTAAGTGGAATAAAGACCAAAGAGATTTATATTTTGCAAAACAAGTAATCAGAGTACAAAAACGGAGAGAAAATGCCATCAATAATAATGACTTGTACATATTTTTCATTTGTGTTTACATCAATATTCCAAAACATAAATTTCACCAAAAAACAATAATTCCACACTAGGACCAATTTGATTGTTATAAAAACTGTCAGTCAATTTCACGGATTGTGTCAATTCCAATAAAATCACAATTTACACGTGCATTGGGCCTGCGGTCATTATTCTAACGTTAATATCAAATCATGTATTATTCAATTTGAAAAAATTCATGTCAGTTGTTACGAGCAAAAATATTGCCATTAATTTTTGTTATTGAAGCATGAAAATGTTGTCAAGACTGTTATCGTCACTGAAACAGAAACAGTTATCACAGAAACAAGGCATAGTTGTTTATGAACCGATGCTCATTGTACCTCAGGCTATGCACTTCCAATGGTCCTGTTAAAGTAGATGCTAATAAAGTAAGAGTTTGAGAGTTATCGTCACTATCTTCCAATTCGTTCTTCATTTCCATTTAAAAAATTAAAATGCAGAAAAGAAGCGCGAACATTTATCTTTACACATTAATTGAAGCAGAGACTATTCGACACAACTATATGAATAAAATCTAATATGAAATGCATTGGTTAGTAAGGTCGTCTCGATGTATATAATACATAAAGAGTTGAATTTATCTACAATAAAAGAACGAGAGTTTTAAAACACTGTTGCAGTATTTTCCACTAACCTCTGTCAAAGAATTGTTAACCTATGAAACTACTTCGCTTACTTATATCGTAAAGAAGTCCCGCACTAAATAATCATCTTGCAGTTATGATAATGACGTACTATCATATGGCAGAAAACTGACCTATAATTGGTAAATAATGAAACATTATGTTGTCATAGAAAATTATCTATAAATAGTTGTGTTCAAGATAAAAAAAATGAGTTCACTAAATTCTATAATTGACAAAGTCGGAAACTTACATAGCTCTTACATAGTCTGGAATTAGTTTTATTACAATCGGAACTGATCTACTAAACAGAAACCAGTCCTACTGCGTTCAGATTCAGATATTGTAAAATAGAAATCGGTGATAGACTAATAGAGTGTCGAGGTTATTAACCTTGTTTTGAGATAATCTGCTGTCTCCCTCATTCGGACACTTATCCATATAACAACCTAAATGATGCTAAATACAATAACAAAGGGAGATAAATAAGTAATTTCCCACACAAATTAAATCATATTTAGTAAATATTCCGAGACAATGGACCAATAAGATTATAATTTCCTATTCCCTTATTACAGTTCTTATTTGGTCAATTTGGTCAATTTGATTATTGTGATACTGTATCAAATTTCCAGATACGCAAATTGATAAAGGTCATTTGCTCATCATTTAATTACCATTTATATTTCTATATTTCTTATATACCATGATAGTAATAATGTAGCCTCCCCATGTTGTCTCTTTATGTTACACGGGTGCTTCATAACAATGGCGATACAAAAGTTCCCTGAAACTACAGTCCTTTTAGCAAGCTTTTAGTAACTCATAGTGTGGTAAGACTGACTCCACTGCAGTACAGAACGTCTCTTATGTACCATTCTTATGGTTCCTTAAAATCTGATCTGAGAAAAACCTTGATCAGTTATCATATTCCAATGATGCAGATGCGGATGCAAACCAGAAGAAGCAGTTTATTAAGTAATACAAAAATATTTTTTTAAGCCAGACGTACTTCTGAATTCACTCAATGTGTATATCCGGACATCATTTTGACGTCTAGTCATCGACGATTTGCAACTAAATTTATCCACCATTTGTAAAGTGTACATCAATCAGAAACAAAAAGCAACGTTTGTAGTTTTTCATATCGTTTTGTGGTCTTGTCAGGTTTATGGAGATGAATGAGAATTGATGGCGCGAAATTTCAGTTCTGCTTGATATTTCCGTTTTCGGTACATTTCCCTCCATTAGTTCCCGCCAATTTTGGTAAGTCAATTCTGTTGTGTATTAGCGCGTGCGCCTCATTAGATCTGAGTATTGATTAATACATTTAATTATTCCCCTTGATTTGTTCTTCAAAATTCTCTTGAATGAAGAACATTTTGATACAAAGTACGCCAAGTTTTGATCATTGATCATAACAGGATCTTTCATTTCAAGATTCCATTTCGCAGACGACAATTTCTATAGCAGAAGACAGCAATTAAATAGATCTAGCAGTCAGAATGGAAAAATAAAAACTTGAAAAGGCGCCCATGTCAGATTGAGTGAAATTATCTATATTGAAAATATTAATGAAATTCCACATCAAAGTGGTAAAATTCAATACATGTCTATCTCAATCTTGGTTGGGCTCTTTAAGGTTAACAGCTAATTTGGAACTTAAAAATGATGCAAGATTAGGTTGCTGTGAGAAGGTTAATAGGTCGAATCATATCAAAATGAAGTAAGCAGTGATAAACCGCAATCTGATGTTGAAACAGCTCTACAATATAATTATACTGTTGTTCAAAATCAAAAATGAAATGAAATGACTGGAATTTTATGTCCTAATTGCATCTAGGCTATAGGCCAATGAAGGCGGCGACGACATGCAGTGTGCAATGAGGGAACTTATGCGAGGACAGCAGCATTAGCCTACTCATTTTTCGATTTTCAACTGTCGTGGGTTGCAGCAAGTTATTGTTATATAAAAACTCAAAGGAATGATGGCTACATTACGCCCATAAATCCATCCATATCAATTTCCCTACTCTATAACTGTCTTTTATCTTGACAAACCATGCCTTCAAAACAAAACAAGTCTTTTTGATATATTGAGACCGAACATTGTACGTCTGTTACTGAAGGGAGCGAATGACTAAAATTAGACGTATAAGAGAATGATATATTTTATTAATCAGTAATGTATCACAATGTTATTGATTAACAAGTCGGCCTCCTTTGATCTAACTTCATTATACAGATATAACTCCTACAGTTTCCCGTCAATATACCATATACGTTCCCGCCGAATTACTATATATGTCTGATTATAATTAGAGAGCAGCAGACGAGCCTGTATATTCTGATGACTTCTGCTCATTTTCCCTGTCGTAGTAATCGATATAGAATTATATTTAATATACAGAAAATATCTGAAATTATATACTACAGACAGATTTGTTTGAAAATTAATGTTTTTTCGTAGATTACAGGAAAATATTATAGATAAAATATCTTCTAATAGCTACTGAAGATGTTTTAAATTACACACATAGACGCAATACATTGATGAAATTAAATGCATCTCAACACCGTCATTTTGGGACAAAGAAGCTCACATTGATGACTTTGCAGAAGGACCGAGAAAGAATCCTGTCTATGACGCCCTTTCACTTCAAATGAAACTATGTGTGGAAATTCTGGCTGTATAAATGTTCAGCCAAGACATAATTATATTATCTTGGTTAGAAAGAATTTTTTATGAGCTAGTAATATGCTGATATTGTTATTAAATATTCCAGACGTTTTGCTTGTGGGTTTTAATACAATCGAGAATATAATTTCATGGTTACCCTTTCCGAACACCTGATGTGACCCTGAACATTGGTCTAACAACCTTCTTGCCATTGCCAAGAATGATTATTGAGTAATGTTATTGAAGTTTCATTATTATTAAAGGTTTATTATTATAAAATAGTATATTTATAGAATAGGAAGGTAATTTGATTGACATGTCAGATAACATTCCATATTAAATACTTATATACCACTGTAATATAGGGCTGGTTAGGTTTATATTTGAACCAGAAAACAATTCATAATATCTGCTTCATATACCACAGATAAAGACCGAGAGCTCCAGTCAGTACGCAATAGTGCATATTTGCATTGGTAGTGGAATAAGACTACTACTTTTCAATTCCAAACGGTCGTGGCAATATAGGGTCGTTTGGATGGAACCGACGTCTCCGTTCTTCGTGTTTTTTAAATGCATAAAAAACGATAGTCATATTTGTAAGTATATCTCAATTCTAACAAATGTTGTATATTTTGTTTTTACATTTCAACTATACATAAAACTTACCTTTTTAAAAAGCAACCTGTAAACTATCAAACAGGCATTAAAGACTTTCTGGAATGAATTTAAAACAAAAGTTTCCATCAACCAACCTGACGCCGTGTTTTTCTTTCTCAAGTCTCTTTCATATTTCCGATAAAATGCACTCTGTATTGTGGGGTTAAAAATTTAATTGAAGTTTGATAGTCAACTGGGTGTATCAACATATATTCTATATCTAGCATTTGAATGAACAAAATAAATTCTCAAGACAGTCATTGTTTTTAGAATTCTTAAAGCTTCAATGCACTGATCGCCGGAAAATGTAAATTTTGGAATAAATGAACATTAAGCAATTAAAGATGCAACTTATAGCTTGCGATGATACTATGGTACTACAAGTGTCCTTAAGTTTTCACAAAAATTAATGTTTATCCAGATTTACTCTCTGGCCTTCAGTTCATTTATAATGTGACTGTTTATGGATTATCAGTTTCAGTTTAGATTTTGTAATGACTATATATTCAATGGCCACCCTTAGATTTTTACTCACGAATGAAAACATATATCCTCAAAGTCAAAACAAACCTATAAACCTATTAATTTCATTTCTTTGTCAAAACGTACTAGTTGTTGTGGGGTTATGTATTGTTATGAGTCTATTTTTGATTGAGCTTTATTTGTGTCCGTACTATATATTTTACCTATTTCATTACATTGGTAATATTATATAGATATATGAATGAATAAATATGTTTTGATATTAATACAGATAGACTAAAGAATTACAAATATTGTCACCAGTTAAAGAGCTCACGATCATTAGATATTGCAGTGTTTGTTCCATCATTTAACTGGGGTTTCAGCTATTGATGTTTCTTATCCTCGGAGATCCCACCTATAGTTTCAAGCTACAAATTATACAATTCTAATCGACTATTTTTTTTAGATAGTCCTTTGTTTAACATCACAACAGTAAGGTGCCTGGAAAATACCATTAAAATTGCTTTCTCTAGTACTAGAGTGGCGATATACTGGCACTAAACTGTTTGATCATAATACATGTGCATGGAACATGATCCGTGCGAAATCCCACTCAATACATGCACTTCAAAGAGTCGGCTCATAATATGGGCTCAATCCCTACCTAAGTGCAAGAAATAATACAACTATGAGCACAAACAAAAATTGTAGTAAAAGAACATCGGCCTCTACTCGTAAATCATCAGTCATGTATATAGACAACAGAGTAGAGCTCATATAGTAGAATTAATGTAGTGTATAGATTATATCAATGTGAGCAGACTCTAGCAATATATTTCGATAACTTCTTATACACGATAATATTTAAATCCTCGACTCACCCAGCAACCTTATTTCTGACTTTGATGTTATAAACGGTAAACCAGTAGTGTCGGCACTTTTACAAAATAAGCTCTTGATACGAATAGAATTCGAAGTGAATAAAACTAAGAAAGAGAAGAATGAAACAAACCCTTACTGATAAACTAACATTTTTTGTAGTCGTATTTCAATTCAAGTTCTTCAAAATCGATATGTTTCAAGTAAATGAATATTTGAAATTGAATGAAGGCAATAGATTGATTACTAACTTTGATTATATGATAAAAATGTAATGTAACGTATTGTTTGTAATGTTCAATTGATTTGTCATTGATTGTGTTGAGTTGCAGTTGAGATGACATTAGCAACAGCTAACCTATAGGTGGCGAAGAAAAAGCCATTGACTTTACAAATGATATGAAACGGAACAACGCAAAATTAGTAATACATTATTATCATATTCTGCCAAATGTGATCATATTGACCAATGTTCGAAGATATACAAGAAATACTGTCATTCATTACCAGTGTATTTTTGTATAAAATATTACATTTACCAGCATATTATCTCTATGATTAAACGCTATTATCGCTATGATAAATCGTGTTCCTCAACTGAGCAGATTTGTCAATTTCAAAAGGTTTTAATTACGTTACTACGAATAGTATTTTGTGTACAAACGTGGCTTTGCTTGGTTTGATAACTACTTATATTGATAAGTATGTGACAGTGTGAACCTTTGAGCATGTATGTTGATGTCTTATGTGTTGTAAGTTCTATGCTGTATCATTGTGAATTAATGATATGGATTGCAAACTATACATACAATTGTGCTGTAAATGATCATTGATCGTAACTTATATTTTTTTTACGATAAAAGTTTATCGTACGTCAATGTATACAGTGTGATGTCTAGAACATTGCATGTATGTATTATATTTATATAGATCTGTGAAGAAAATTTCACTTCTTACCTGTACCAATCTAATCCTTTATTATAATGTTTATCAAAGAAATGAGGTTCGGGTCCAGGAGCCCTGACATTAGGATGAATCCTTAAAAACTCCAATAGGGCCCTCGTGCCACCCTTCTTTACTCCAATAATTAAGGCTTGTGGAAGTTTTCTACTCATAGTAGGTTTGATTTGAGTTAATGATGAATCTACCCCACCCCCATCGTTGATATTAACATTCTCGTTGTTTGAAATATCTATATTTTTATTATAATAATCATCTACGTATATATCACTTTGTTTGACACTGTCACTATTAGTTTCACTTGGAGCAAACTTTAATGCATTTTTATAATCCAAATCACCAGAATTGGAAAATTGTAGCACTCTGTTGTGTCGTTGAAAGTTTCGGACATCAGTGCCAGTTTCGTCCGGGGGTTTCCCTCTGATATATATGGAATCCTCATTACGAGGAAAGTCTGGGAAGCCCACTGAAGAGGACCACGTAAACACTAAAGCATATATTGCTAACATGGTGATTCCTGCTACAGACAGAATAAAATACGAAATCAACCTCTTTAATCGTACATGGCTCACAATAAACATTTCCAAAACATTGCAGTATTTATATTTCTTCTCTCCATTCCATTATTTATTCACCATCAACATTTCTACTATCTCTCACTCCGAGCACATCACTTTGTCATCACCATGTAGTATTAATCCGCCGAAGAATCGGGATTAATGCGTATGAATACAAACATCCACGTGTATTTGTATATATTTATTTAAGAGTAAAAAGCCTGTATAACACTGTGTTTAATAATAAAGTAAAAACAAGTATAACATAGAGAAATGATTCACGTATTGCCCTGGTTATATTCACCGCGTGTTAGAGCTCTATTGTATCTCTACAGTAGCACGTGATAAATTCTAACATATCATTGGTTGATGAGACTCTAGGGGTGGGACTTGGGTTGTGAATGAAACTTTAGCTCTGGTAATTGTTAGAGCTTTTTACTCGAATGACTGCGAACAAGAAATTAGACTGTTCTTCGATCTACGGGTCAGTGGATTCTGAATTCAGATAAATTTTTAACGACGACAAAGAATGTTGTTGATGAGTTTAATTGAATATTTGATCAAATCTTTGATGTTAGTTAAGTTTTATGTCACGTGTCATTTTGTGGTTTGGAGAAAATTTTGATTTTTCACCAGTATTCAATGTATGATCAATGATAATACATGTAAGTACAAAGTAAAATATGTACATTACGTTGATCTATATTGTGTACTCTTTTCATGAACGCGAAGGTGTGTGTTTGTGTGTGTTAGAATAGTAGGCTCAACAACTAGAACATACCATTACCAATTGACACTAACTCATCTGTAGGGAATCTATGAGTTACAGGCCGAGAACATACCTTTGAATTTATCAACCCGGTTTCACACTGAAAGTTATGCAGGTCGGAAGGCCGATATGGAAACAAATGGACTTCTCTTTTAAATTTTAGTGTGAAGTGACTTCAATATCGATCTTGCGACTGAGAGCAATCAGGATTGCAAGGAATGCATCTGGGATAATCTGATGCATTGCTAGATAGGCGCACCTGATTTGAAATAGTTGGAAAACCAAAGTGATAAGCAGAACTTATGATTTTAAACCCTTAGTTCATTTTATTGCTATCCACTGATACATGACTGCTTCAAAATTACTGTTCCACCTTTCAACTCTGCATTGGTTGTTCACTGCAGCTGCATAGTGATGACTTCTGATATTTGTCTTTTCAAAACACTTTCCGCTTTCTTTACTGAAGCGTAACTTTTGAGCTAGTTGTCAGCAAAAGCAAAACCAATTTATTTCTGCAGAAACCGCAAAATATATGACGGCTAAGACAAGATGTCAAGCAAGTGTTTTCATCATGGACAGACCATTCTTTTATATGTAAAATGGTAAAAAATATGAAAGTGTGAGTGCGGGGGGCAAAGCCGGGCCAGCATCTTTTATGGGGGGTGGGGAGAAGAAACGGCCCTGTTATTATAATGCACGTTATATGCATTATAATTTCTATTTTGATTCAATTATCGAGTTAAGATCTTCAGGACCACAGAAGCCGTTATTATAATGCTTTGTCTACCCGGAGGAAGTAGAGAAACTTCCACTAGGTCTCTGAACATACCACTATATAGAGAAATTCTGGTTTGCTAGCATAATGTTTGCAGTATGTCTGAAGATAGGTTCGAAACGTTTAATTTTGAATTTGTTTTTTAAATTTACTGGAATTATGGATGGTAAGAAGGAAAGCGTTGTAGGACACCATTGTTCGACCTAAGATCTCTGCTTTCTGGTAATCACCTCAAGATTGACATGGAATAGCGTGTAATATAACAGCTATCAAAATATCACATTCCATTTAATTCATTGTCATTGTGTTCAATTCACCTTGTAAAATGTACGCTATATACCATTTTTTACTAATTCTCTTTTAAAAAAGATGACACTTGATAATGTCAATAGTTGAAACTTGAAATTGCAGGCAAAAATATTCTTAGATTTAGTTTCTTTAAAAGATGAAATCGTACAAGAAAATATTAAGGTTAGTGATCAATTTCTCTGCAAATTCAATGTGGAAAAACAATTTCAAAAAACAATGTCAAATGTAATGTATAATATTGTTCAAGCTCATAAAGAAATGCCATAAATATGATATGTGTGAACTGGTCCTTACCACAGAATTAGTCTGTGGAATCATTAAACCTGTTTGTAGAGGCGAGACGTAATCTAATAGTAAGAGAACGAGAAAGGTGGACAAAATATGAAATAAGTGGAGACATGCAGACAAAATCGCAATCTGTTGTGTAACATACCAATATTGCCAATAAATCTTTATCAGGGCCCTTTTTATCAAGAGTCATAATTAGCTTTTTGAGAATGTATACAGGTAGAAATATTAATCTAATTAACCTATAGCTGCATGGTTCTTGTGTTATTTGAGTAGCCTACCTAGTACAGAAGCAGACAGTGTAGAGTTCAATCATTGATTTTGATGCTAAAACAAGCACATCTTAACCTGTAGGATTACAGACTGAGACTAGACAACTACACTAGTTGTAGACCTCTAAAACATCGAGTGCATCCTATCCAGCTTCCATTGTCCCATGCCTGTATCTCAACCTCGAATCTGTTCGTGCAAGCTAAGAGACTATATTTGATCCTTTATTTACGGTATACGATCAAATAGAGATCAAAGGACTTTTTATGCAAAAGTAAACGCATTTCAGTTCATTCGACAATTGCACATGCATGCATAGTTTTATAGATAAAATAATAGAAAATTAACATGCATTATTTGATTATTCATAATTTATGTAATTCGTATCCCTCCTGTTGACATGATAGTGAGCCCGTTATGGAAACGTCAATGTAAATATTATTTGCCTCATAATGATTGTCCTTTTTTAAAGATTGAGTGCATGAATAGTTCATTCTCACTTCATTTAGAAATTGGAATAGGTGATCTGGAACTGTTGGGTATTTTCCATCTGTTCTGATCTTAAATTATATAGAATAATAACTCGTCGTTACATAGTAATTGGCTTTAGTTTGAACAACCTACAAACAAGGTTGTCATTTAAGTCCTTTTTAAAATATGCGACAATCATCTTCGTTTACCATGAAGTAATTTCTCTTGTAGGCCGACACAATGGGAATAAACTAGCCCAATTGCTGTTGGTATTGAACGGTATTTTCTATATATTACTGAATAATGATTTGTATATGATACATATGCTCATAATATATAGTTTATTGCACCTTTAAATTATCAACCTCGGTTTATCTTTTTGTCGTTTGTAGTTGTACGCCACGGAGATCCTTCTGCAGTTGAAAATCGAAGAACGGTAGACTTATTTTGCATGCTGTCATAAGTTGAGAAATGAGATGCTGAAAACAATTGTATCCCTATATATTAGTTGTTGGTTAGGCATATATGTGGATTTTCTTTGATGTGCAAAATCAAACAAACTGTCAGAATGATGACGTGTATGATAAACATTATTCACAATGATAATTATTCTAATTAATTCTTATATTCATCATATTCTCTTTGATATTGATTATATAGCACCAGGTTGTATCTATATCTGATACAGGTCGACATGCCATTTACAACTCATACTCAGTATCGAGTCTTTCGATTGCAAGAGTTTTCAAATACTGTCCTGTGGAGTGTTCATTTCATGCTCTCTCTTGTTGCCACTTTTTACCCTTGCAACGGCGTTAGCAATAGTTATCTAAATAGTGACTTAAACAAGAAATGAGTGAAGGGGATACTTTGATTATTGCCTTTGCAACTATTATTCACCCGTTCTAATGCTGGGACTGAATGATAAATAAACTTTCTTCAACGTCATGTATTTATTAGATCAGATTAAACTGGAATAGGCAATGACATAGATCAGTTAGAAAACTGTAAAACTGTTTAAACGTATTCATGAACATAATAAATCATCGATTCTTTTTACACAGAAATCCTGCTGGCAGCCATCTGAATATTGTTCTTATTAATTATTGATGGAAGGAGGCCGAGGTCAGCTCAGGTAGATGTAATATGAGACCAATATATGGATTTCCAAATCATCATGTACGTGACAAATTAGCATTAATATTTCTTTTTTTAATGCACGCATAGATTATCAACATTCTCTATACAACACATCTGTCAAACCTAGAAAATACTTCTATAGTTCTTGGAATCGTTGCATTATCTTTGGATGCATCCGAGTTTAAAGTATATTGTAGAAATCAAAAGTGGCTTTTCAGATTGCAATCAAAAGTCCATGTTTTCGAGTTGATGAGAAAGTTCTCTATTATTTTATATGAACATATTGGGTTATTTTGAGGTTAATATATGACGTGATAGTCAATTAATACGTATATAGATTATACAGTCAAGTAACCTAATTTCGTGGAAACCTATTATTCGTGGATTTCCGGAAAGGATTAATAATTTACATGAGCGACCTTGCGCGACCTCCGCATTAGCTTGTTTTGATAAACATGGGTTTTCTGTTCAATATCAGCTAGTAGAATGAATCCAGTAGTTTCAAGTAAGGTAAAATGTATTAATGTATACTTTGACAAATACAAAATGGCGGATTTCACTTATTACCAAACGTCACCATTTTTTATCGGCCGAATTTCCTTATAATCCCAAGCGGTAATCGGAATTCCAAGTGTCGTCTGCTAGAATATATTCCAACAAATGAAGTCACATGATCAACTAACGGATTCCATGTCAGCAGAAAATTTCTATGAAACACAAAGTGGACCATATTCTTATGTTGTTTCAGTGACTTTTAGCAATAAATCATGCTACGTATCTTATTTTGTCAGTCACTATTTATTTTTTAAAATCGTGGTTCTTTGAAGGAATTGTCACTAGTTATAATGAATTGATATTAAAGATAAATACCAAGAGAGGTTAATTATACCACCCGGTATCCATACAACGTGTTTTTCTCGACTTATTTATAGATCAAACATTATACACGAAAATAGGTGACGCAAAGTGAAGGATTCATAAAGAAAATCGAAATAAACCAAT